ATTTACATCCCCAAGGAAGGCCTTTTAGCTAAAATCAGAATAGCCTTTTCAGAGTCTGAACAAAAGAGACCACGAGAGTGGCAAAAGAAATCTTAAGAGGAAGGCCTCTTGGGACTCAGTCCGAGTCACTGCCAGGACTGCATCACCACCTGAGACACAGTTCCAAATTCGAATGTGCTTTAAAAAGCCACAYGTTTTTCTTGAAGACATCACCTCCCCTCCTAAATTTACAGGTACTTCTCCCTCCCAGACTGCTCAGCCTGCAGAAGACAGATACAYAGGCAACAGAGCCAGAGCTGACACCACAACTGGAGTGTCACCCTGCAGGTGTCAAGGGCGGGAAGGAATTCACCTACCAAAGACAGGAACAACTCCCATCTTGGGCCACAAGCACTCAACAAGAGAGGATCAATCCTCCTTCTGCTTGGGCACACTTACTTTGCCAATAACAAAGATGTTGGAGAGCCTGGTGGCAAAGCTATTGCCATTGGCATCCTTCACATGAACCACGTCAAACGAGCCAGGATGTCTCTCCCGGTTGGTGATCACACCAATACGGCCCAAGTTGGCACCACCAGTCACCATGCACAGGTTACCTAAGGCAAAGGAAAGGCTGGTGAGACAAGAGTTTGCAAGGAGCCAAGATGAACATCCACACGGGTCCTTCAGGAAGACTGCTGCAGAAGGAGGGCACAAGCAGAGCACTGCAGGGACACAGAATGGCTGCCAGAACATGGGGACACAACTTTTAACGCCTACATCCTGCTGGAACCTTAGTCCATCAAGGCCTATTAAAAAAAAAACATTCCCTACACTTCATTGCTGACATCAGCATCAAGGAAAGGGATTTTTTTTGCTACAGAGCATGTAGCTTGACTGATCCTCATTTTAACAGGAACCCCAGCTGTGCCCCATAGAAACAAAGCCACTCAGAAGGCTGCCACCACTGCCACTTCCAAGGGGAGGTACCCAGCAGCTGCACTTGACTTCCACACTTCTCCCTACCAGAAACATTTCTGGAGAATAAAATCTTAGAGAATGTGAGACCTACCTGTGTCAAACTTGATGAAGTCTGTGATCTTGCCTGTCTCCAGATCGATCTGGATGGTATCATTCACCTTGATGAGGGGGTCTGGATAGCGGATGGTGCGGGCATCGTGGGTGACCAGGTGAGGGATTCCTTTGGTGCCCACAAAGATCTTCCTCACCTTGCACAACTTGTACTGCAAACAAAARAACAACTCTGCTCAGCCAAGGCGAAGCGCTGCACCACAGCCCAGCACAAACACATGTCCCCGCTCTCAAGAGGGCCCACCAGGCCTCAGTGCCCAGGCAGAGCATGCAGACACATCTCAGGACTTGGGAGCCCCAGAGGAAACCAGATGGCAACTCAGCGCTGCTCGCTTCACAGCCCTGTCAGACACCCTCCTCTCAGGAGGCTGCCCCACGACAATGCCACAGCCCCACGACTGATACCTGTGTTTTGGGAGCAGCTTTCTACACTCCAAGGGCATCTATCAGTACCAGCACACACAAGCGTCAACCCTTCCAAAGCCACCTGCTCAGTACCCCTTACAAACACCAGGTGCCTTTTCCTAGGATAGTATCCACAAAGGTGGAATTACCTTTGTTTGCCTTAAACTCCTGTTGGTCCCACAGGGAAGGCAGAGGCTACAAGAAATCTGCATCCCTTCTCAAAGGGGCTCGCCCTCCTCACAGCCTTCAACTCCTTCATGCCSCCAGAAGGGCTCCCAGGGCAACACTGATGGGGAGCCATAAAGAACAAATCCCAGGGCCACGAGGATGTGTCGGGGCTGCCCCTGCACAGCCGTGGAGAGCACAGCGATCCACTAACAGCCCCTGGCTCCGCAGCACCGCTCACCTGGGCACGGGAGAGGAGCACACACGACTCTGAAGCGCCAACACACTCAGGCCGAGGAACTGCATGTACCCATGTAGACAGGAAGGGTTAGTGGGCAGTTTTATAAATACCTTCCTGTTCCTGCTCCAGAAGAGCTCAAGAACCCCTTTTCAACAGCCAAGCTACAAGTCCACAGACAAGCTTTGTGAAGCACTGCCAAAGCAAAGGCCTTGCAGCTAGCACCGTTTCAACCTGCTCCCTTCAACTTAAGGTCCATTCTGCCTCTGGATAACCGTAAAGGGGACACCCAAGAACTAAACGCACAAAAGTTATTGTTCCTGTTGTTGCTTTCCCGTCTGTGAGCAAGCTTGTTCCCAGAAGCACCTTATTCCTCGAATCCCCTGGAAACAGGCTGCAGATGGAACTCTCAGGGGAGGGAGAGAGCGCACAGCTCTAGCCCAGGAGATATCGGGCATGAGACGCTGCCCCAGCAAAACACACCGTGGTTGTTGCTCACATTGAGATCAAGTTCCTCACCTTGGCCTCTTCTGCTGTGATACGGTGAACAGCGAAACGGCCCTTGGTATCGTAGACCAGGCGGAAATGCTCGCCCGTCTTCTCAATGCTGATCACGTCTATCTCAAAAAGAGAGACAAAATGAGGTCTTTTATTTCTACGCATTTTTAAACAAACTTACTTATAACACTGGGATATTCAGATCTAAAGTTGATACTCATGGTAAAGCACAACTTCAAATGAAATCTTAACAAGTGCTTAGGAGCAACGTCAGCAAAAGCAGTTACTTCTACAGGCAAAGTCAGAAAGCCCCTTTCCTCCAAGTCTTTACAGCCTCGCAAGATATTCCCCCTAGTGTACTAGAACACTCCTGTGAGGCAGCTGYAGGCTACCAATCTACTCTAATAAAGGAAAAACACAGCAAAAAACAGGTCAAGAGAGAGAAGCTAACAGCTGAAGTTGCTTGCAATGCCAAGAGAGTCTGGAGCAGCAGTTTTAAGCAATTTGCTCGCTAAGCTCTAGATCTTGGGTGGGTTTGTAGAGGCATTCTCCTCACCAGCAATTCAGTCAGAGAACTGGAAGCAAAACTGTTACCAGTCTCCTGAAAATGGAGACAACTGAGTAAACAGCCGTGTTCCTTTAGCATAGCCCATGCCTTGGCAACCCACTGCAGAGGGGAAAGCTTCTAAACGCTATAATGAATAAAAATGCCAACTTTTTCACTAAAACCCCAGCACAGGCTCCTCTGCAGCCGCGGTCCCTGCAGGGTGTCCCTGCTCCAGCCCTCCACACTAACCCATGAAGCCGGCGGGATAGGTGATGTCCGTGCGAACTTTGCCGTCTATCTTGATGAACCTCTGCATGCAGATCTTCTTGACCTCATCCCCTGTGAGCGCGTACTTGAGGCGGTTCCTCAGGAAGATGATGAGCGGGAGGCACTCGCGCAGCTTGTGCGGGCCTGTGGACGGACGGGGCGCCTGAAAACAGGGCCAAGAACACCCTCACTCGGGCTGCTCGGACGCATGCAGCGCCCGGCCCCTSCGGGGCACCCCAGGGCTGCTGCGCCCGCTGCAAGGAGCCAGGAAGGGGGCAGAGAAGCTGCTCGCAGGGTCCCCGGGGRCAGTCCAACGCGCCCAGCTCGGCGCTCTCCTCCCGGACGCGCTCTGGGCCGCTCCAGGGGCCTCCCCAAGGCGCCAGGCCGGGACCTGCCGGGCCGGGAAGCGGCGCCGGGCCATGGAGGCGGCTGGGTGGGGAGCAGGGAGCCGGGCCGCCCCCCAAACCCCGCAGAAACGATGCCCCGGAGGGCGCCGCGCACTCACGAAGACGCCCGTGAGCTTGTCCAGCATCCAGTGCTTGGGAGCCGCCACGCGCTTCAGGTGCTTCTTGGGGCCGCGGGCCTAGAGAGAGGGAGAGCGTCACGGAGCGGCCCGCGG